TCTGCATCTTCCCACTAAAGTGAGAAGGAGCCTGGGCCAGGGCATCTGGCGGAGCTGGTGGGGGTGTTCAAGCCTTGCCATGGAGAAATGAAAGCGAGAGCCTGCTGGGAGTGGGACATTGGCACAAGTTATTGACAGTGGGTCTCACTCTGGTGTCCTGCTTGGGCACCATTTCTTTTATAGGTAGTGCATGGAAGAATACCAAGCTCTTTGCCCCCCCAGTCTGACACCCTAATTCAAGTTTCAATAGCTTCTTATTTATTATTTACAGTGATTTTTTCCCTAGAGTTGTTCCTCCTTTGGAGAAATGATGATGAGTCCACAGAAGGTGGTGATGGGGCTTCTGGATTTCTCCGAGCTAAGTACTCCCTGCAGCACTCTCAGTTTATTACCAGTTGAAGACTTTGGTCCTGTATGTAAAGTTAATCTGCTTGGGGATGTGTTGTGAGATCTTGGATCAGGCCGCTGCATGAGACGTGCCCATGCTACTAGTATGACTAATACTAGTCTTAAAACAAGGAGTGGCTGCCCAGAACCCTCCCCCGCGTCCTTCGATTGAGTCGCTGTTGTAGGTTTTATTCTTTTTAGCAGCCATGTTATAAAAGGAATATATAGCGTCACCATGATAATTAAAATAATTGTTTAATGGAATTGTTTCTTTAAGGATCTTGTCCTACACATTGACTGTCTCCATTTGGCAAATGGCAAGACAAGTAATTAGCTGTACCTAATTACTGATCCGTATTCATGGGAGCTTTTATAGCTGAGGGAACTGAGGAGTTTGCTCGGTCAGGTGCTTCACATGAAATGCATTGCATCACAGGCCAGATTTAGGATCTGGATGTGCCTACAGAGTTGTGCTCACTTTCATGTGAATAAACGTTTGATCCTCATCCAACTTCAGAGAGAAGGAAAAAACAAAATAGCTTCTAAGAAAAGCTTCCTCATGGTGCACTCTGAAAGCAAATCTTTCCAGTTTGCATGGCAAACTGTCCTGTGCGGAATATCCAGACCCGTTCATGGCTTCACAAAACCAAAGCTACATACCCTATCACAAGCATCTTATAAAATTAGGCCCAAGCTGTTGACTCGTACCCACTCCAGTAATCCTGTTGCCTTCTGAGGTTCTACCACATGAGCAAGATAAGTGAATTCACGCTCTAATTTTAGACTTAATGCAGTTTGCTGAGAAGACTGCAAATGGAAAAGGATTATTATTGGGAGTGGGAGCAAATTGATGATAATAATGTTACTGAAAATTGGACATAGAAGGCGAACAATCCTTATACTTGCCCTCTCATCAGGGATTAATAACCACAACCTTGGAAGGCTCCAAAGGACTTAACTCTGCCTGAAAGCAAGACGATTTGCTGGCTGTGAACAGAAGCAGGTGGCTTCTGCCAATATCCCCCCACAACCATAAAGGGTTAAATTGCCGTATGCAGCTACTAAGTATGCGTGTGAAAATTTCAAAAGCATGAGAGTTAGCCATCTGGCTCCTGCTTCTACTGGGTATTTAGGGATGTAAAGGGAAACTGGAAAGGTAAATAGTGTATTGCTTGATGTGTTGATTTTCAGCTGAGATTTCTCCCTTCAGTGCCTAGTCATATTTGTCCATCTAAATGAGTGGGATTGACTGTGTCTTCCCAAAAAAAGGGGCAGAAAAAATTAGCATGTAAGCTCTGGGAGAGCTGTGCAAAGCACCACACTGCCTAATCTAACAGCTGAGGCAAATTTATTCTGGTCTGCATCCAGAAAAAGGACTGAGCCTTTCAGTGTCTAACTCCTGTGTGCTGACCCCCTGGTGGTTTCTCACACCCTGGGGCTGTGTGTAGACCATGCGGGCAGCGTTAGCTGCCTGAGGCTGAGATTCCCAAGAAGAGCCCAAGATCTGGGGCAAGCATCACAGTGACCGGGGAGGGTCAAGCATCAGTCTGGACTGGGAAGTGAACGCTTTCCTAGCTTTAAGTGTGTATGCCAAGCCAGCGGGTTTTTTTTCGTATTTTTTCTTCTTTTTTTTTTTAATTTTCCCCTGGGGTAGAGGTAGAAAGAAAGCAGTGGTGGGGATGAGGTACACTACTCTGCTGGTAGCCCTCTATTTTGTCACCTGGGTCAATGTCTGTCTCGTCTCATTTGGGAGGCCAGGCCTGGACACATACCAGACGTGCCCTCAGGGTCCGCTGCGCTGGAGGGCCTCCAACCTGGCCAGTGATGACACTAACGCCATTTTTTACCCTGTGATTGTGTGAGTCCCTTCACGTTGCGCGTGTCTCTCATTCCATCTGTAGGAGACTGACACTCAAATCTCCTGAAGTCTATCGTGGGCAGAGTCTATCTGTGAGCAGAGGAAAAAGCTGGTCCAAGGTGTGAACCGGAAGTGTATCCCCTCTGTTACAGCTCTGCTGTGACTGCGCACACTCTTCTTCACCCTACACCCCCAAATCAGGCCCATTCCCAGCACTGTGTTTTCTTCTCTTCCTGCCGCAACACTTTAGGTTGACGTCGTAGCTTGTCCTGTGAGTCCCGATCCCTGTGACTCTTCCTCCTTTGTCAAAGGAGCTAAACAACCCTTTCATGTCTAGCTTAAAAATAAGCTGTGCCTTGAAGTCATCTACTTATGCCTTTTTGGTTGTAGTTTTATTGAAAAAGCTGGTATTAACATATTTATATTTTTATTCCACAACAGTTAGCTAATTTGTGCAACACAAAGAATGCAGCCATGAACAACAGCTTTCAAAACAATCAGATTTACCAACTTTACCATCACTTACTCTACACCACTGAAAGCTCAAACTAAAAAGAGAAAGAAAGTTGGAAACGTTCACAATGACGATGTTAACTTTCCATACATTCAAGAAACCAGGAAACCAATCTGTAGTAGCGATGTCACAGACAGGAATGGAATACTGGTCTTTGAAAGGTTTCTATTTATTTCCTCTATAATCACTTCATGGTATTTTGGTTGGGTATTTCATTAGTTTTATAAAGCTCCAAAGATATATTTCTTTATTTAATTTTAACGTGTTCTTTTTTGGTACCCAAAGCTGTAACAGAGTAAGGTACTGCAAATTAAAAACAAAAAATCATTGTATTAAGATCTGCTTTTATAATAAGTTATCTATAGAATCTTACTCAAGAATGTTAAAAGCTAAATATATGTTTTACAGTACTTCTAGCTGTAAATGCCAATATGAGCTGATAGCACTTTTTTCTTGAGCTGCAAAGGTTAATGGAGGAGGTCAAAAGTCAAAGAAATCATATGACACCCTTGAAGCAGTAGTTTGGCATTAACAAGTTTTCTATACAATTTACCACATTCTTAAACCTTTTTACAAGGGAAAAAAAAAAAAAAAAGAAAAGCAATTTTTTTAAATTTCATTAGAATAAATATGTACATATACTGTCCATGCCAGGTACAGCATACGGTATTTTATAAACAAACATTCCTCACTCCCTTTAAAATTAACCTACACATTTCATACCGTATGTGTTTAGTGTGGCTGGAACCTGATGCACATGCGTTTGTGCTTCTACACACAAAATATACAGCATTGATCTAGAAAACTTCAAACATACGGGTTTCATGTGTTGTGTTAAGATGTCATATAAAAGCTGTAGACTTTGTTTTTTTAGTTCTTGTAAGTGGATTTTTACC